CAAACAGTTGTTTTGGCTATGAATAATGTTTTTGCTATCTCTCTTATGGGTTTGTTTTGTTTTGTCAGCCTAATGATAGCTTGCTTGACTGATAGTAACAGCTCTTTGAATCTCATCTTGAGAGTTGAAAGTAACTGATTAAAAATAAAAATAGCATGCTTGAAATTAACTCTGAACCTTTTATCTGCTCATTGTAATTGGGATAATGAGGAAATAACACACACCTGGTCATGAAAAAGCTGAGAAGCCAATTGTCCAATTTTGGACCCTTAACGAGTGGGAGGAACAGATGCAAACTGTTGTAATTGCTACAGTGTTCACCTGATTTGGATGTAAATACCCTCAAATTAAAGCTGTCAGTCTGCAGTTAAAGCACATCTTGTTTCATTTCAAATCCATTCTAAATTTATATTAGAATGGGGAGCTCTCCAGTGTTTGTCTTTAATCACATACAGTTGAAGTCAGAATTATTAGCCCCCTTAAAAAATTTTTCTTCTTTTTTAAATGTTTTCCAAATGATGTTTAACAGAGCAAGGAAATTTTCACAGTATGTTTGAAAATATATTTTTTCTGGTGAAAGTCTTATTTTTTTATTGCGGCCAGAATAAAAGTAGTTATTAATTTTTTAAACACCATTTTAGGGACAAAATTATTAGCCCCTTTAAGCTATATTTTTTTCTCGATAATCTACAAAACAAACCACTGTTATACAATAACTTGCCTAATTACCTTAACCTGCCTAGTTACTCTAATTAACCCAGTCAAGCTTTTAAATGTCACTTTAAGCTATATAGAAGTGTCTTGAAAAATATCTAGTAAAATATTATGTACTGTCATCATGGTAAAGATAAAATAAATCAGTTATTAGAAATGAGTTCTTAAAACTATTATGATTAGAAATGTGCTGAAAAAAAATTCTCTCCATTAAACAGAAATTGAGGAAAAAATAAATAAGCGGTCTAATAATTCAGGGGGGCTAATAAATCTGAGTTCAACTGTATATGCAAGCTTGATGGACTGAACAGAAGAACTGAGCAAAAGTGTATATGAAACTAAAAATGAACTTTGCTTTGGCCTGATTTCTTTAAAAAAGGATGACATGCCACTTTATGTATTAACTGAAGTATTTCATGGACTTTAGACTGGTCTATTCTTAGACTTTCCAAATACATTACAGTAAACAGTTTTGTTCTTGCTTTTTTTTATTTTGGAACCCAATTTAATGCAATTATACCACTTGTTTTGGTTCAAGAAACCTTACCATTATATAAAAACAAATGAAAAATATTTTATAAATGAATTATGTTTTATAAAAAGGCTAAAAGTTTTAGTTTAGACCCTTCTTATTACACTAATCATAAACTGAAAGTTGCATATGATAAATGTGGATGGTTTTAATGTCTCAGTCACACAGACTCATGAATTTGAAATAGTCTGTGACCCCTTGTCTGTGTTGTCTCTTAGTGTGTGTGTGTGTGTGTGTGTGTGTGTGTGTGTGTGTGTGTGTGTGTGTGTGTGTGTGTGTGTGTGTGTGTGTGTGTGTGTGTGTGTGTGTGTATTTTCAGTTGAGTAAGCATGTCTCAGACCAAAACAAAGGTGAATTAAACTCAGGATTAGTGGATAAGTGAATGTATCTTTTTCTCATTATTCCATTTAAGCATGAGTTACTGCACTACCTTTCAGCAATAACCCACTCAGCGCAAATGCATAATTCATAAACAAGCAAGCAAGCACACAAATGCCCTCTCAACTCTCTGTCACAACCTGTGTGTTGTCTTTCTCTGTTTGCCTCCCTCACCTCGATCCATCAATCTTACTGTAAATCTGCCAATCAATCCTCAAACAAGAATGAGACGATACGTTCGGCGGCTGTGTTTGTATCTCAGTTCAAGACTGTAGCTGTTTCTCCCTCACCAAAATTGATTTTTTTCTTCAGTCAATCGCTACTTTTATCTGCAGGTGTCCATTGACCAAAGGTTACACACACCGGCTCCTGTTTTAGCTCCTGCGTCTTCCCCACTGGGAGATATACAGTATCTATAGCTGAAGCACAGCCTGTAGGGAGACTGAGAAAGGTAATGATGCGGATGTCTTGTATGTGGCCCCGGCTGTGTGAGACCCCAGGGACCTCATTTAGAATCTGCTAGGACACAGGCATCTGTGTTAAAAAAAAAATGGCTGAACCGCTGAAAGGAGGGTCTCATGAAGGGTCCTTTTACCGCAGCTGCCAGCATGCTTTAAAAACTCGTTATACAGCAAAACCAGAGCAATAGGCACATCTTCTGCTGTACTGGACCAGCAAGAAGCCCATCTGCTTGCCTCAAATGGCTTCGGTTATGTTTGATTTCCCCTAATGGGTTTAATGCAACTTAAAAAAAAAAATAGTAAGAACCAAGGCACATTTGCAGCTCTGGGTTTCTATAGCAAAGGAAGTGGCGTGAGCATCAATTCATAGAAATCCATTCAAAAGGCTTCATTTGCATTTGTTTTGGAGCTTGGTTTTAAAATATGTCCATAATAAATAATAAATAAATAATACAGCCGGCGTTCCTCCGGCAGACTGATGCTGTAAATTTACATCAGCGCACTGAGCAGAGTTTGCTTATTAAAAAGGAGGGTGTAAATTATTTTGTGCTCTGTTGTTGCTTGCAGACAGTTCGGTGATGAGGGAACTATGAACTATGTGGAGATGGCTGATTATAATTGGGCGGAGGGTTTGCTCATGCAGTGAGCAGGCAAACGGCTTAAAAAAGGGAAATGCAACATTTGCATTGGCTTCTCAGGTTCAGAAGAGAGTACAGCGAGCAGCAGGAGTGCCTCATTATATTGTGGCAAATCCACAATGAAATCAATTTGTGCCATCACAGGTAACCATTCCACTTAATATTAAAGACATTGGAAATTGAGTGCCGTTTCAGACAGGAAGACGAATGAAGGCTTTGAGGCTTCTGTCTTTCTAATGAATAAAATCTGTTCTCCTACTGTCTTGTTGTACCTGCGGTCGTTTAACACAATGAGTTCTTCTCCTCTGCCTACACAAATCTCAAAATACCATTATGGGTGCTTTAACGTTTCTTGACAATCACTGAACCGATTCTTGCCATATAAATCTTGCCATATCCTCTTTTCTTCCCCATTCTACTAGAGTTTGACAAACACATCATCAGTGGCTTGTGATGGACTATGGGTTTTTTCCTGCTCCATTAGATGTTTATGGGTCAAAGAAGAAATCGAATTACATTTACAAAAGCTAATGGAGTTTTAAATACATGGAATGCATTGTAATGACAAGTTACGTGTCTTTAATCCTTTTGTGCTGTTGGGGATGTTTTCATCCACTCTGGGGTGATTTTAAGTCTTAATTTGGCCAAAACTTTTTCTGCGTTTCAGCTAGCAGAATGACTTTTGACACTTATTTTGACACATATTTTGTGAAAATGCTTTGAATTATTTAAAGAACTCAACGAAACACTCTGGGCAAATACTACCTTTTTGTTATGCTCGGGATGAAAACATCCACTAAATCAAACTGCTGTAAAAATGCATCAGAGAAATACTTTTTCTCTATTTCTATTTCTTTGTATAAATTTGTTAATCAACCGGGATTTTAACTGTTTAATTGCCAAATTCATAAATGATGTCACTGATTTGCTAAAAAACACACAAAATGGTATATTTTCAATATAAATAGTATTTGTGGACTGGATTTGTTTTAAACTTTTATTAACGTCTTGGACATGTGAAACAACATTGCCTTTAATGCATTGTTTTTTGCTTTTTTTCTCCCTTTTTTTTCTCCTTTTTGCCCCATTGACTTCTTTTAAAAAACAATATAATCATGCATTTTTGATTGTTGGTGGTTTTCCTTATTGCAAAGAGATAAAATTTTGTCATTTTTACTGTTGATCATCAGTTGGCACCATTAACCCTTCAGATAAGCCTGCGTAAAGAAGCTTAGTCTCTGGATTTTATATGGAGTATAACAGCAAATTAAAGTGTGTGCGTGAGAGTGACCTTTGCGCACTTGCCTTGATGTGTCTGAAAAAATCAAAATATGCCTCATATAGTTTGTATATCATGCTCTCAGAACTACATGAAGTAAACAAATACAAAGACTGTGTATTTATGCACCTTTAAATGTGGTTAAAATGGAAGTCAATGGACAAAAACAGTCACCAACAGTAAATTAGGGGGAAAACATGAAAATCTAACAATGCATCAAAGCCAATGTTGTTGAAAAAAAATCCAGTCAACAATTACTTTTTATATTGAAAATGTAATTTTTTTGTGTTTTTTCACCAAATCAGTGACAATATTTGTGAACTTGGCCATTAAAGTGTTAAAATCCTGTAATTAAAAAAAATATATATTTACTAGTTTTTAATCAGGACTGAGGTTGATTAATAGATTTATGTGAAAAAAAGGGAAAAAAAAACATTAATCTGGTGTGTTTTTACAGCAGTTTGATTCAGTGGATGTTTTTATTTTGAACATGACAAAAGGGTAGTCAATTTGAACAGTGCACAAGGGTTAAATATGAGTAAAATAATGTCATTCAGAGGTAAAAAAAAAAAAAAGAAAAGGAAAAAAAAGAATACATTTAAATGACCACTGTAAATTTACTTGTAAACTTTTTTTGAAAAATTTGTTTAAAGTATGCTTTTCATTATATATGATTCAGGCTGACTTAAATGATTTTAAGGCTTATTTATATATTTTTCTTTATTTAGAAGCACATTTGTTGTTTACTTGAGAGACGTGGTCACTTTAATAGCTAATGCACGGATCCGATATTCTGGTACACGAAAGGCACCTGTATAACAAATGTGTTTATGTGGATATTTACTGAGATGGTTATATTTTCAAGACAGCTTGATGTGTATATGTGTGCTCAGTGCAAAACTATGCCTGAGAACCCTAATGTAAGATAAGTGTTTTTTTTACCCTATTGTCCCCAATGTAGTGGAAACACTTCTCAAATGGTCTCCTTTTTTTCACAGACGACAGGTTTGGAACAACATGAGAGTGAGTAAATGATGACAAAACTATCATTCTTTGGTGGATTACCCCTTGTCTTATTGGGCAATCGCAGTGACTTGGAGCCCCTGATTCCTTTGACGTGACTTTTCAACATGCTTTAGAACCTTCAATCGTCATTTTCCTCTGTTGTGCAGTTGGTTATTTTCCTCATTCAAATCTCACCCTGGCTAGCATTTGTGGTTGATTCTCCCAGTTCTTTGCAATCTATTCTCCTTGCTGTTTTTGCTCCCTGTGTCGTCACCATTGTGCACTTATTCTCAGGGATCACTCATTCTAGTCACGGATATTATATGTGACCTACAGAAACAGGCAAAATCAAAATGTGTGTCTTCAGCATCAGTCCTGGTCAATTCATAGCATTCCACCTGAAGGGGAACAGATTGATTTAATCCAGGCTTTCTCTGTCCTTCCTGTATGGAAGCTGTCCTTTTGCATCAGCTCCAGATTTCTGAGCCTCCCTCCCGAGGAGCAGACAGTTTGGATGAGCATCTTCTGCGTGAGTGAGAGCCTTTCCCTCCTCCCCTGAGCTGTGGAGCATCCAGCTGCTCCAAGCAGCAGCCCAGCTGGACTCACTCAGTCTGGGTGGGGTTAACACTGCCCCATTTACATTCATGCCAATGTCAATTCCAAGAAGCCACAGCTAAAGTCAGACACGTTATTGATTTTGGAGTCGATCCAAACCATAGACGAGTAACTTAAAAATGAATGCAAGGCTGTGTTTACACTTGGCCTTAAACCCTGTCTCGGGTGATCGGTTCACAAATGGTCAGACTGCGAGAGTTCAGCGTGTTTCTGCTTAGTAATAAAGCAGAAATAAGTCTAAAAAGTCATTTTAATCTCACCCAAAATGCAATCTTTTAATTAAAAGTTGATCATTGTCATTTTGGTTGAGTGTTAAAGGTGCTTCACAGGATCTGTCTCAGTACACTCTGTTCAGTTCAGCATAACCTGGAAAGGTCACTCTATTTTCTAAATGCATGTTATCGATTTCATTGTGACTGATTCATCCATACTGTTTTTAATCACAATGTAATAACTCAGTCTTAGCGTGAGATGACACTTCATTCTGGTAATGTATGTCATCCTCTCTAGTCATTTAGTCCACTTAAATCCATCTCTTACCATCCACAGCAAACTCTTAATCAAATCTCTCTCCACTCTGTCAACAGCTGATGAATTGAACCTGAAGTCCTCACCCTACATTTTTTGCTAATCCTTTTCGCTCTAATGTACGTCATAATAAGGAAGAAACAGATCTTCCAACTGTTTGCTGGCAGCTAGCTCTCTGTAACTCTCACGTAGTCGCCCGTTGAAGCTTAGCAGGGCTGCACCCGGTCAATACCTGCAAGAGAGACCACATGGGAAAGCTAGGACATGCTGTTAGTGAGACCAGCAGGGGGCGCTCAAACTGTGGTCTGTGTGGGTCCTAATGCCCCAGTATAGTGAAGGGGACTCTATACTGCTCAGTGAGCACCGTCTTTTGGATGAGACCTTAATCCAAGATACTGACTCTGTGGTCGTAAAAAATCCCAGGATGAAAAGAGTAGGGGTTTAGCCCCAGGATCCTGGACGAATTTGCCCACTGGCCTCTGTCTAACAGGGCCTCCTAACAATCCCCATATCATAATTGGCTTCATCACTCTGTCTCCTCTCCACCAATCAGCTGGTGTGTGGTGTGCGGTATAGCGCAATAGGGCGGCTGTCGCGTCATCCAGGTGGATGCTGCACAGTGGTGATGGATGAGAAGATTCCCCCAAAAATGTTTAAAGCGCTTTGAGTGTCCAGAAAAGTGCTATAAAAATATGTGTAAATTATTATTATTATTATTATTATTATTATTATTATTATTATTATTATTAGCGACATTATGACTAACTCCAAACAGGCTCTGGTTCATGTTTCCTCTTAAACATCCAACACAACATGACATCTAACAGTTAAATAATCTGAATTGAATATTCGCTTAACTAATTCGGATGATTCTCTTCTCAATATTTTCACTACATCTGAGGCTTGAGCTGAGGCTCTGGCAAATATTGCACCTCGCTGTGCCAAAATTCTGTTTCAGAACACCAAATGCATAATAAACCCAGCAGGATGATGATGATTATGGTGTTTGTCTCTGAGAGGTGGACATGACGCGGGACTGCACGCTATAATTTAGCACCAGATTAAGCTAGGGGAAGATGGGAAGACATCAAACTTCTACACGCCATACTGTGACTTTTGAACTTGCTACTGTACTGGATTGTGAGGAGGTGTGTGTGTATGTGGGTGTGAGGGTTTTGGTTCAGATGTGTTTGGAGAACAGCACAGCTCCTCATCCATCCTGTGGGATTGGCTCTGGTGTTTAATGTGTGTGTCTCTGGAGATGAAGATTCATTGCTTTAATAAGAGCAGTACAGGCAGGAGAGGGAAGAGCGCACCATTACAGAGGGAAGGCTGATGGTTAGGGTCTTGTAGTCTTTAATGATGGAAGGAGGCATCTGTTGCAAGCTAGTCTTTGTAGAAGGCACCCCTTGAGCCCTTTGTCACTGCCTCGCCTTCGTATCTTTCTTGAACTCTGTCTCCAGTGGACTTATTGCGTTCTGTAGGATGGGGGGATGTTTGAATGCTAATTTTAGGTTGAAAGATAGGATTGTCTATGTACGAGGTAGACATGTGGGACAGTTTTGCTTTGGACGCTTATTTGCTCATAGGAAAGGACAGGGATCTGGATGAGAAAATAATTGAAATACAAATAAAAGTGAAGACTGAATGTGCTAAAGGATGGTGAAAAGGTCATGTTACAAGAGGAAGTGTCTTGACCTCACTGTGATTGGCTGATCACAGTCCGTTGTCTCTATCCTATCTTCGTATCTTTCTTGAACTGTCTCTGATGAATGTTTGAATCTTTTTTATCTTGGACTGAAAGATGGTAGTGTATGTAATGTGCAGAGGCACTAACCTAAGTGGTAGAGTCGGGACAATTCCAAAGAAACAGATATCTACAGAAAGGGAATGTTCCCTCTACAAGGAACACTAAGGGAGCCCAAAAACCATAGAAGTGCTATGGAAAGAAGAAACAGTAAAGAGGATGCATTTGAAAACAGGTGGCACAGAGTCCCAAACAAAGTAGATCACAGGCCTTTATTGACTTGGGTATTTGGTTAGGATGATTCCAAGGTTCCTGATCAGAATCAGTTTCATTGCCAAGTGTGCTTCACACACAAGGAATTTGTTTTGGCTACTGAAGCTTACAGTGAACATAAAGTGACAAGTGACAACACAAAATAAATATGAAAAAAGATGATAAACATTAAACAGAGATGCAGTTAGTCAAAAAGCTCTGGATGTTGAATTGTATTCACAGATGTTATAAATATACAGGTTATAAGGCTCTGTGTAAGGAAAAAGGAAAGAAACTTTTCTTGTGTCTGACTGTTTTTGTGCTCGGTGCTCTGTAGCGCTGGGCAGACGGTAACAGTTCAAACAGGAAGTGTGCTGGGTGCAAGAGGTCCAGAGTGATTTTGCGAGCCCTTTTACTCACTCTGGAAAAGTACAGTTCCTGAAGTGTTGGAAGGGTAGTGCTAGTGATTCATTCAGCAGTCCGGACTATTCGTTGTAGTCTACGGAGGTCGGTTTTGGCAGTTGAGCCAAACCAGACAGTGATTGAAGAGCAGAAGATGGATTGGATGACAGCTGAGTATAACTGTATGAGCAGCTCCTGTGGCAGGTTGAACTTCCTCAGCTGACAAAGCAAAGATAGTAGAGTCTCTGCTGGGTCTTCACTTCAGATCCTGAGAAATGGTGGGGCCCAGGAACCTTAATGAATCTACTTCTGCCACAGTGTTGTTCTTGGTGGTGAATGGGGGGAGTGGAGGGGGGTTTCTCCCAAAGTCCACTATCATCTCCACCATTTTGAGCGTGTTCAGCTGTAGGTTGTTGTATCTGCACTATAAAGCCAGCCACTCCACCTCCTTTTTGCATGCCGACTTGTCACCGTTCCGGGCGAGATCAAACAGGATGGAGACAGAGACCGAGAACCCAGTTTCAACCAAGAGAGACATTGCCCTCCTGGGGAACAGTAGTTGAAACTATAGTGGCACAAGGAGAATACATTTAAAGAGTGTGAAAGTTGAATGAAAAAAGAATAAGGATTACAAGATGAAGGTGAAGATGATGTCCCTAAAACATGGTGAACTGTCACATGAAAATAGACACTGTGCCTGGATGGTCTGAGGCCATTAGTCCTGCTTTGTATTTGTCTTTGTGTGTGTGTGTTTTATTAATGGTTTCCCGGTGGACGTGTATACTAATATAGACTGAGGGAATGTTCACATGGTAATTTTAGATCAAAGAGTAAGACATGTAACGTGGGATTTAGCAGGGGTGTTCTACCGGTGGGTTTGATTGATTTCAAGGATCCTGATCAGAATGGGGCCATCCATAATTAGATTTCTACAGAAACATAACCTGTCCTCGTTCCAGGCAAAACTAAAGGGCTATGCACACCATAAAGATTTTGAGTTAATGCCTTCTGAGTTGTGACTAAACAAAGGGTGAAAATGTGACACTAAAGGTTCTTTTTCTAGAAAATATCTTAGGCTATTTTTTTAGTTTGACCTGCCATGTTAAAAACTATTTAACCAATTAGATTGTCACTTTTGTTCATATCTATCACATGAAGCTCAAGCACAAAATAGTTTAGCCAAGGGCACGTAATTGCAGGTCAATTAGGATTTGATGGTGAGTTTTATTTCACTTAAATTTATTTAATGGCTTTTAATACAAACTTTTCACTGGGTTTTTGTGTGCTGTAGTGGAGGAGGGTGTACCGGTGTACTTCTGCTTTTCATTCAGTGCAATCTAATGTCAGGGATTGTTTAGCATGTTCACTCTGATATTAAAATATTTTGAGTATGAATTTCAAAAAACTTCTTAAAAAATCAGACAATATGTTTAAGGGAAAATCAATGGTGCACATGATCCTTAAGATACAGTAC